GGATGTTCTGGATTTCAGTTACTTATTAACAAAGGTTTTTTTTAAATTCTCACTCAGAAATTTACAGAAGTTAGTTATTTGCCAGTCATTTTGGAGCAGTTTTAGACTTAGACCTTTCTAAATGCAGGTGAACTCACTAATGTACATTTTTAGATGGTTAAATGGCTACTTGAATTAATTTAGCTTTTCTGTTGTGAACTTTTTAGACTTTCACACAAGCTGTTTTTCTGTTGGATAATCACTATCAGCATTATAAGTGATTACCCAATGTTTTTCATTGAGTAATCGCTGTCAGCATTATAAATGAGGAGCAGGGGTTTAGTTTCCTAGAGTGTATTCAGGTGCTATTATTTTATGAATTTAGGTAGCAATTATGTGACTGCGTAAAGTATTTGATACTCTGTTGTCTTTATTAGACCTTGAACAAACACTTAAACATATTCAGATTTTAATTTAGAACTTCAGTGCTCGTTCGAGAAAGTTTATACTAATAAATCTATTCCTTTGCTTTAGTACAGCATTGAGATACTTCCCTTAGCAATATGTAGGGTACCTTCAAACTTCTTGAGCCTGTAGGGTTTGCATTATTCATTTATGGAGTCTGATTTCAGTCAGAAAATTGCCTCTAGCAAGTATCAGGTTCTTAATGTACTGTATGTTAGCATTTTAACACACATTTAGTACGTGTGCATGTGTTCTCCCTGTGTGTACCAATATGCATGTGTATATAAACAGTACAGCATAAATGTCTTGTTGTAAACTGCCCGGTTACTTTATTTCATTTGTGCAGCATTGTTGTATTCAATTGGCATTTTTGGAAATGGTTCGGTTCAGGCTGGAAATGGAATCGACCTTCTTCCCTGAAAACTAAGGCATTAAGATAGACCCTTGTGCTGTCTCCCTCCTATGCTCATAGGCAGCAAAACTGTGCAAGAAACACTTCTGGCTGGAGGCATTTGGCAAATGCATCAGTGAGCAACTGAAAACCTGGAAATTACTTGAGCTTTCTGTGTTTCTTGAATTTTAAGCTAAGATATAATACAGAATCTTAAAATAGCAAACGTGAACTGTCTGTACAGGTGAAAAAGGGTTGTTTATGCATTTCCTACTGCTGCAGAGAATCCAGACCCTTGTCTCCAGAGAAGATGCAGAAATTTCCAGTTAGAAGTTCTAATGCAGTGCTAATTCTAGCAATTCTTGCTTAGTTTTTCAGATCTGTCAAATTTACTTATTGTCTGATTGCCCTGTTATTGATAACAAATGGTTATAAAAGGGACACACAATACACACAAGAGCTAAGAAAACTTTCAAGATATTTTTTGTGATCTGCATGTGTGCAGGTTATCAGATCCAGCATTTGTAAGTTACAAATTATTACCTTCATAAGAGAAACAAATTAAACTTGATCCTGTAGGGCATGGCGCCAAAACTTGCAAAGGAATTGTTCAGTAGCAAGCAAAATGGTGCAGAGCATCCTTTATTTTAGGATGCCACTGATTTGGGATTGCCTTTTCAGATTTTGCTGAAATCAGTTGCCCTATTGCCCAGACCAGACTCACTTGGTGTGTCTGCATGCTGGGGAGACAAAGCTGGTGCTGTTGCTCAGCAGCTGTGCTCCCTGTTGATCCCTTGCTTTGCCCATCACTGAATTCAGCATTTTCAGCTGTGCTGCTGTTGTCGCCAGTTCCCCCATGTGCCTGCTCTGCCTTCTGAACTTCGTTTGGATTGTAGCAGGTTATGCTACATATTATGGTGCACTAGATACATGCCGTGAATTCTCTTAATGCCCAAAATATGAGACAGTCAAATTGCATGTGTCTGGGGGAGATTTAGCAGAATTTTTCTGACGTTTACCAGTTTCTGAGGCTGTGTGTGAAGGTGTATTAGCTAGATAGATTCTTCAGTCTCTCGTGTTATTTTTATGATTCATGTTTTTTTATGTAGAAATTTTTTTATTAAATGTTCGGCTTTGTATTTAAGGGTGGCAACCTTCAATTTTTCTTCTGGTTTCCTGTCAGAGTTTAAACAAGCTGCTCTTGTCTCCTGAGATCATTCTTTGACTGCTTACGTCACATGGAAGTGCTGACTGCTGTTCCATGTCTGGAACAGCTTGTGACTGTTTACTGGAAAAAAGCAGCAGCTACGCTGTAAAAATGTGCAATGTAATATCTCTGAATAGCTCTGTTGTTGACACTTGTATAGAAAAATCACCTACTCAACTACAAATGCAAGAAGGTTCATTGTGCAAGACCAACACATACTAGTCAGATTGTTTATCTACTCTCCTAAATGTGGAAGGTTTGAACCTTTTCATATTACTCATAGACATCCAAATGAGGTATAAAAGCCAGGTCAATAGGAAATTCCAAACCTGCATTAAAAAGAAAAAAACAGTTCAGTTTATGCAAGCTTTTGAAAACTGCCTCTCTTATATTTGCATTGCAAACTTTAACATGCTTCACTGTAAATGTTCGAACCTTGCTGCTGAAGTAGGCATGCATGCACCCTGCCTTGACATACTGTAGCACTCAGATTCAAAACTGACACTTCTGTTAGGCCTGTAAGCTTGAGTGCAAAGGAGAAGCTAGGCCAAAAAACCCGGAATGTATGTGCTGGATGAAATGAGAATACATGAAGCTACTCTAAAATAGGGTTAGTATTGACTTGTTATAGTGCAGCCACACAAGTATGAGGAATGTAGGAGAGAAGTAAAATGACTGCCTTGTTTAAAGAGAGTGATGTAGCAGCATGTCTTAAGCTGTAGTAAGTTCAAACTGAAGAAGTTTGCATGCATATCTTATTTCTCTGTCGTTCTGTAACATCACAGACATGAAATACTGAAATAGTTTGTGCTTATAGCAAGATTGTCTCCAGTGTGTTACTGAAAAATATTACACTTGCTGTCAGATCAGAGAATGGCATATGGGGAAAAAATATGCAAGTTACACTTCATTTAATGGTGTCTTTGGCTCTCCATATCTTTGTATTAGAAATGCAGGTCTTCAGAAAGGGAAGAATAAAAGCCATCTAAGTTTAGAACTAAGGTTAGACTTTGGAGAGGGGAAGCTTCACAGGCAGAATGTGACTGAGAACTTGACATCGAATAGTTGAAGATTAACACCAATTGTAAGAAGGAATTACTTTAATACACAGTTTGGACTTTTGCAGTTGCTGAAGTCGACAGCTTAGTTAATAAAATGCTGGGCATTAAGAAGTTTCATGCTCTCCTAAAAGCATTGAAACGTTTTCATTACCGTGTTTGCAGAAGTAGGGCTTGTCATTCTCATTCTCTATCACAAGACATTGTTTTCAGTTGCTGTGGACTTGGCTGAATTTTAACAACTTGAAGCTGTCAGAATCAGAATTTTTATTTTTTTTTGGTTTGGAAGCTTATTTAACCACAGTTTGGTAGTGTTTGGGGAAAAAACTTTAAAGCTCCAGCACATCTGTCCATAGAGCATTTTCACACTTCTGGCATAGATCATGTATGTATATGATAACCATGGGTCAATGAAACTTCTCCTCTTACCTCTTCAAATGGTCCTAGAACACTCAATTCTGGCACCTCAAGGATAAAGATGAGTCCAAGACACTTGTGTAGCTGTTTATGACAACTGAACTAAAAGTAGGGACTGTGCTGCTGCTTTAGTGACTTCCAGGCTGATGCCTGATCATACTGGGGCAAGAGAGCTAGTAGAGCAGCTTAGCTAAGTAATTTAGCTTGAGCATGTGCAGAGACTGGGTCTTGAGGATAGCAAAAGGTGCGTTTCTGCTCCAGTAATTGGAATGCTCAAAACAGTTCTTTGAATGTGTGGTTACGTGGGTGCAGTGATCACTACCTGAGGAAAATGCTGTCTCACAATGAGGAGACAGATGGGAGACTTTTTCAAAGCTGTGTCCATACTCACTGGGCATACAGGCAGCTGCTTACTGCTATTAGAGTCACCCAGAGAACCGTGTTCTTGCAGAGGGGACTCTGAGATAACATTTTGGGCAACTGAGTCTCAATATGCCCAAGCAATTAGAAGCAAAGAAGGCATTAGCAATCTTTAGTCCTTAGTCTTTTTGAAAACAAAACCCTCCAGCTAGTGTAAAATTACACTTTTCTTGAACACACATCCGCTCCCAAACTATTTATGGTGGATAGCAGCAGAGGGAGGTGGCTGATGTGGTGACAGAAGCAAAAGCCCTACACAAGAGTGGCATAAATAACCAAGTTCATTTCCTGAAGTATGAACAAAATTACTACTTAGATTTCAGAAACCGGTGTTGTGGAACTAAAAAGTAATATGTAGTGATTTTCTTTTTAAATGGCCCTCAGTCTCATTTGCCTGTATGCTTTTTATAGCATAGTCTAGCCCAGACGAATGAGCATAATTTTGTTTCTTCATTTGGATCTTCTGTTTTATGAAAGGAAATGGCTGGTCTCCTTTAGATGGTCGCAGTAGAAACTTTACAATGGTGAGAACTGTTTGGTATGTTTGTGTTCTGGTTTTTCTTTTATGAACTCACCTTTAAAATCTACTTATAAATGTGAAATCAGATGTGGACTGATTATCCTGAAGTTCATAAAAGTCTCAAAAGTACTTAGCAATAGCAGTTTATTTTGTTTTTTAAAGTGAATACTAGCTGAAGTACACGAGGATATGCTTTTGTTTAAAGGACAGTGGTTTCCAAACACATCAATTTTCAATAGAGAAGAATTGCAGATTCTGTTCTTTGGCTCTAAGGAAAATGGCATGTGGGGGTTGTGATGGTGGGTGTTTTTTTTTGTTTTTTTTTAACTTATTATTATTTTTGTTTTTAACTGCTGCACCATATTGTCTGCTTTGGGAAATGGTAGTTTTCCCACCCCCAGGTGCTGTTGGTTAAACTCCAGGTTTACCCAGAAGAGGTGTATAGCATGAAACAGATAAAGGGTTAAGGAGGTTTTTTGGTACTACAGGTTTAGAATTGCTGTGCCTACAAGATTTATATAGGCTTCTCTCTTTCTGTTTTAGGTGAAATTGTGGTAAATGAAGTAAATTTTGTGAGAAAATGCATTGCGACTGATACAAGTCAGTATGACCTGTGGGGCAAACTGGTTTGCACTAACTTCAAGATTTCCTTCATTACGGATGACCCAATGCCATTACAGGTTTGTTATTACTCATATTGCTACATCATGACAGCAAATGTGATGGATGAAATGGATTGAATTAGAACACAGTGAATCTGTCTCATATCTGATTTAAATACGATGTCTTCTAAAAGAAAGCAGGGTAAAGGATGTGGTTTCACTGTCTTGTTCTGAAGGTGTTGCTATTCCATTCCTTCATTGAGGGTATCAGAACAGTGCAAGTTTGGTATGGAAGTACAGCCAGCTGGTTTTGCCTTCATTTATATGGAGGCTTCATCGGGAAGTGGTTTTACAAAAGGCAAAGCAGAAATTGCCTTCTTCAAGGAGGAACATGTTTTTATAGGGCAGATGTTCCTGTGACTAGACAAGCATCATATCAGCAAAGCATTTAATGAGTCCAAGTTCCATTGGCATTACTGACAGTGGACAAAATAACCATGAAATGAGTTTTCATTTTAGATGAAGCAACAAGAACAGGAGAGAAACAAACCAAGCCTTTGTCAAGGCAGAACACATTCCATTCAAACCCCCCTCAATCAGCTATGGAACAGCACAACATACAGTGCTGTTTGGATTTCCAAGTTGTGAGCTGTATGGTATTTTCAGTAGAGTTTTCACTTTCATTTGGGGCTTTTAAAAGAACCACTCCGTTAACTAGGCATGTGTAAAGCTCTAAAAGTAGATAGGTACTTACTAAGTAATGCTTAGTAACTATGACCAAATCTACTTAAAAAATTAACTTTTAACATGAAATAGTTGATAAACATGACTGAAAGCTGAATTACTGTTTGTTTGTTTATTTAAATTCCTTTGGTTACAGTAAGAGATTTTCTTATATTTTATATATATTTTTTACACTTCAGTTTGTATTGAATTTCTACCAGCAATTTTTGAGGCTTTGCTAGCCTCAGTTCAGTGCAGGTCGTGGGGTTATTTTGCATATCCCATTGGGGTTCCTGACCAGTTTGGTGTGCAATTCACCAGCACAAGAATGCTGTTTACACAACCTGTAACTGCCTGCAAATGGGCAAGGGTGGTACATGTCAGTAAAGTCTAGGCATGCCTGATTTTTATCATAATTTATTCAAAGTTGTGCTGTATATCTGGTTGTCAACTGAAGAACTGCAATTAATAGCTCTGAGTTCATATATTTCAGAAATTCCATTATAAAAACCTCCTCCTTGGTGAACATGATGTCCCACTAACATGCATCGAGCAGATTGTCACAGGTATGTCAAAAATAATTAAGTATAATGCAGGCTCCAAACTTAGTTCAAAGCTGTTAACTGCTTGTTAGGTTGTGCAGAATTGTTGATGCTTAAGGCTTTATGTCATTAATTTTCCCTGATTTGAAGAATTTGGTTTATCCAAAATTAGGATAGAAGCCTTAGATGAATAAAACTTGAGGTGCCGTGCAGGAGACATTTATTTGGGTTTTTATATTGGTTTTAAATTTAACTACAGTACTGAGTTAACAAGTGTTGTAGTGTAGGCACTTGTTATAGCTGTACAAAATTTTGTTAGCAACTTTTTAATATTCAAGAATCTGACTTAAGTACACTAGATTGCAAGAAGCACATCACTTACACAATTCACACATAGCTGGAATATCTGGCAACATAAGTGCTTGAGTTTTTAATCTTGCCTAGTTCTTAGCAAGCTAGTAGCTAGTGGTCCTCAAAAATAATACAGATCTGCAAATCACAGTAGACCTCTTAATCTGAAGAAATAACTTATAAAATACTTATTTTGAAGAACCAGTTTTTGGTGGATACTTTAGGCTCACCTGTTTGTTAGAAAGAATATGTTAATATCGTAATTGAAGAGTTTCATGTAACTGATAATTTTTCAAGTCTTGATTATGGCATGGGCTGTTAACTATTTGGTTTTCTGACTAGATAATTTAATCCTTTACTGATAAATTTTCAGTGGCCAAAGTTATCCAGTAATCTGTTCCCACCCTGGTAGCTGGTTTTAATCACTAGGAAAAGATTCATGTGTATCTGAGGAAGCACATTCTGAAGAAACGCCTTTTTCTAAATGAAGAGATATTAATTATGTCCTCTCTCACATGATATGTGTTGTTCCTAAATGGGAAAGGACTACAGACAGCTTTTACTTTGAAACTCAAGGGCTGCCAGATTGGGAAAACATGCACGAAAGAGTAATCTACAAACTCTCAAATAGCATGAGAAACCTGCAGTTTCATAGAAGAATGGTGGAAGTTCTCTAGGAACCCTTTCTATTTAGCTTTTCCAGGGAGAGTGCAGTGTTTCCTGCCACACACTTGAGATTATTCTTTGTTCCTCTGTTATGCAGGTTTACTCTAAATTTAGTGGAGCATAAGCTTTTACTAACAGGAATTAAGGAGAGGTTTTTACCCACACTGGAGAAGAGGCTGCTCAGTGGCTGTTATATTGAAGGTGAATTCTTGGAGGTGACCTAAAACGCTTGTCTTGAGTTCAGTGGAAGTAGTTCAGTTTAACCCAAGATACCTGCAACCAGGCAGCTATGTTAGTCACTCAAATAGGGCTATGTGCCCCAGTTCTTTGAGTTACCACATATAAAATCTGTGTGGCTTCTGTGATGCTTACATTTTCTAACTTAACTTTCTCTGTTTGGAAAGGAGATACAGAGGCCAAGAGACACAGGCTGTCTATGCAGGTCTAGACCAGCTGGCAATTTGCTATACTTACATTCTTGAGTTTTGTGTAAGAAATAGGGAGTTAATCGCAGTTGTAACTCCATTTATACATGCAAGTAAAACAAAAAAATCCGCGTATGTGTCAATTACTGTGCATCAGAAGGGCACTGCAGCATACCCAGTTAACTGGCTGAGAGCTCTTGGAAATACTGCATATTCCCTGTTTGTGAAGTTGTTGAAAGACAGAAGTAATCTGGGCATACAGGAAACAGTAATTCAGCCACTTGTTTGAAAGGAGGTTGATCAACAGGAGGATCTATAGATTTTTTCTACCTTAATATAAATATACTATTAAATGAAAAACTGCTGGTAACAGCATTATTGTATCTTTTTGAGCCAGTCTTGTGTTGTATGCTTACAAAACACAACCCAATAACTTTGTCTTTTCTTTGCAGTGAATGACACCAAGAGGAAGCAGAAGGTCCTTGGTCCCAACCAGAAACTTAAATTTAATCCAACTGAATTAATAATTTATTGCAAAGACTTCCGAATTGTCAGATTTCGTTTTGATGAAGCAGGTCCTGAAAGCGCAAAAAAGGTATTGTGTCTTCTTATGAAATCTTGCCACATGCAATGACTAAAGGCAACAGCTGTGCTAATAACATTTTGGTTTATGTTTTGATAGAGAAGTAGGAGGGAAGAATTGCAAATTAATCACATTCTGCTAGGAGAATATCTAGATCTTGAGTCAAAACAATTAGGTATAAAGTGTAGTGTGATGTGTTAACGGTTTCTGTGCATGTAAGATAAACATTTCTTGTAGTATCTGTTATGCTTTTAAAAACTAATAATTTCTGAAACAAATCTTTTTAAAGACTACATTGCAGTTGTGCAACAGATGGGTACATGTTTATGGAAAATGTTTGAAGCATTATACATTTTTCTGAAAGTCGTAAGCTTAATGTACCCACAGGTGAAGTGTACTATCTTATATATGCCCTTTTTTACTTCACAAGGCAAGTTCTCCAGAAGCTCTCCAATGACCAGTTTGTTTAATCTGCATAAAACTATGTGCTCTTTCTCAGAAAAGACTTACAGACCTCTGGACAAGTGGAATTACTTCTGTCTGTACATTCCTAGAAATGTCATTCCTTCCCCAGTTCTAACACTTGCTATTGTAAATCTCAATAAAATTGTACAGTATTATTTAACCTGGTAAGATCTAGGTAAGTTTGTGCTAACTGGAGATGGTTAGTCTGTATAACATTAGCTCACCAGGTTCCTGGTTGTTCTGGGTCAGTGCTGTTGGTTATTTGAGTAACAGCTCCTCTGATCCCCATGGCACCAGGAGAGGGCCAGGCACAGCACAGCAGTCATTTTGTAAGGAATGACCCAGTCTGCTTACAGAGCTTAAGAATTCCCCTTCTCAGTAGGATAAAGTTTGAGCTTAACTCTGTAAGTTCTAAGAACCATCTGCCCAGACATAAATCTGTTTGCAGTTATCATCTGAGTAACTATAACTGAAGCAGTTCATCACTACTTCACCTTTTACCCTCTGGTAGAGGTCCATGGGCTGAAGCCAGGTAATAAAGCAGACTGTTTTTTCCTTGCTGCTTTTCTAGGTTCCCTCCTGCCTGCTGCCTTTACTGTTTATAACCTTTCACTTTTGGCAATCTTTCAGCAGTCAGTTCCCCTTTCACAGCTCCTCTGAAATCTCCCTGGAGCAGCCTGTCTACTGCAATATCTTTATAGCAACTGTTTCTAATTGGCTGTCACAGCTAAGAAGAGTGATTAGCCTGGAGGAGGAAAGCATAAACTCAGCATCTCATTAACACTTTGTGCTGCATTTACTTAGGCAAGAGCAAAAAGTGAAACCTTTTTCTGAAGGTGCTTGCTTCATGCATTTATAATTACATGGTCAAACGTGATTTCTTTTGAAAGGAAGAATGGCTAGATCTAGAGATCCAGAGGATCTGAATCTGTCTGGTTATAAAGATAGTGCTTGTGGTGACCAAGAGTTGCTGTTATCGCATAGCAGAATGCACTCACCAAAGGAGTGGAAAAAAAAACCCTTGTACAAAAAAAAACCCTTGTACAAATTATCCTGTCAGCTGTGTGGCTGCTGTTGCAGTTTCGATGTGTCAAGTAGGTTACTGCAGCTTTGTGGGAGTGTATCACAGAGCACACTTGTACTGAAGGGAAATAATGTTACGTTAACCTGATGTTTCCAAAATAACATTGTTCTGCTAGCGCTAAAGTATGAGTGTCTAACACCATGAGGTCCTTAGATCAGGTTTTATCTGTCTGGATTATGCTTAAATTATTTTCTGATGCTGGTGAACACAACTAGAATGGTCTTACACAGTATATTGACTGGATTTAATTTGTTCTTTCTGGCATTTAAATGGAATGCCAGCACCACACTCTTGAAAGATTTTATCTAGTTTCAGTTTCTGCCCTTCAGTACATATTAGCGAGGCTGTCCTGATGTCTAAAACCAAAGGAAGGTGGTCAGGCCTCCTGAGTTCTGATGGGAGGGAATCCCTGCTCTTCTCTTGGCTGAGTGTGCTAGCATAGTGTCCTGACCAAGAGTATATTGTAGTTTTTTCACTTGTTGTTTTTACAGTAAGCAGAAGGGAAGGTGACGTTACAGAGAGCACTACAGTCTGTTCTGTAATGCAAGAGACCTGCATTTTAGTTCTTTATAAATCATAAATGGCTTCCTTTAACTTCACATAAACACACGCAGCTATACCCATTGGAGCAGGGAGATTTCTAATTAAATGTCCTAGTAATGCAGAGGAGTATCATCCTGTGAATGTAGCACTGATAGGTCAAAATGAAATAGCTACCTACTAAAATAGACACTTCAAACTACGGGTATATAAATGTCTCTGACTTGTTGCCAGTTGCTAGCAAATGTTCTATTTCGAGCAAAGATTAAAGAAATAAAAACTGTACACTTTAATTACTATTTTAAAATGAGTTTTAAAATGTATGGAATAGTTTTGACAAATGCTAACTTTATACAGTTTTTTGTTTTATTTAGAGTTCCTTGAATGTAATGGAAATACTCAGCAGCAGTTACATAAATTGTGTTGGCAGAGAAAACATAACTTGTTCCTAAGGAGGTGTCTGTATTTGCTTAAGAGGTCATAAGGGGGAATAAGCCCTTATTAATTAAGCTTTCTTACCAGAACAGAGAGTGTTCTGAGTCTCTTTTTGGTAGTGGGTACAAAAAGAAGGATCCAGGTTTGAGAGCAGTCAGGCTTTGGATGTGGACAGCCTGATGTGATGACATACAGGCATGATGCATGGGTGATATTGGTAGAACTTTCACAGGTGTTTTTCACTATCTTTAAGCAGAAACAAATTGGAAGAACACATTGATATTTGGGGTGAATTAGTTTGTTTTGAGGTAAACTATTATGGAGAGGCTTAAAAATCAGTTCTGTTGGAAGAAATACCTTCGACATTAGTTGCAGCCAATACATGCTGATAAAATAATGTCTCAAAGTTAATCAGTCAATCATTTTTTTCCTTGTTTTTATTAATGGATATTTGGGAGGCAAGAGTTAAGGAATAGCAGAGGGAATGGAAAATTGCTCTCATCACTACTTAGCAGTTTAATTCTGTTTTGTCTCTGAAATAAAGCTATAGAGTCTCCAAAGGAAGGAAAGCCAGATGGGTGTGGGAGGAAGTGGAAAATGGTCTTCTTCCAGTGAGTTCATAGGCCAGGTAGCCTGGCTTAGGGAAGGAGGTGAAGTGCAGGGCTGTGCTAACTTAGCGCATCTTAAATATGACTGTTCAGAACTCTTTTCCAAGGGCATTAGCAATATTTTGAAGCTCTTGGCCTATGTGAAAATTCCTATTGGAGAAGAGGAGGGCTTGCCCTGAAAGTACAATTTATTTTTCTCAGACTGGGGTTGAACAGGGGACACTGACACAGGAAAATGGCCTTTGTACTATGAAATAATTACAGCCATTGTGTTTTCTGCTTCTAATAAATGAACTTTCCAACAAGCAGCCTATTCTCTTGTTATTTGACTGAGCCTAAATATCTTCAGCTTTACACAATTGCAAATTGGCAAGAATACCAAACATTTTTCAGTTTGATATGAGAACATTTCCTGTAAAACGTGTTTGTCTTCCAGTTTAAGAGCTTTCTACTTACGGTGATAATCTGCTGCGATCTGTGGAATGTGTACTTGTCTTTTGAAAGTTTCAGTCAATAAAACTACGGATTTAGTGAGTAATAAACTGAAAATCAGTATGTCTTTAATACTTGTGTAGTGTATATATGAGTGGAATTTGTCTAAAAGGGAGAAATGAGGACAGTAGCAGGGTAACTATGTAATTTTATTTTTTTTTTAGTAACAGAAATAGAGGTGCTGTGTCTGTACTGTAATCTACAGGTGGATTGTTCCAGCCATGCAATACCTGGTGTTGGGTAAATGTCTGCGCTGTGGAACACCTAGGAGCGTTTTTCAGCTGCTGGGCTCAAAAGCACAGCCCTGGTCTCATGCCTTTTGGGAACTGACTGCTTACCATTTTCAACCCAATTTTACTCTCAACACAGCACACACATACTCTCTGTCAAATGTGGCAAGCAAATGAAATAGATTTCAGCTGGTGCTTTTAGAAATAGGTTATACTATATTTCTGTTGTGCTACTTGGCAGCACAACAGAATTTTTTAACATCTTGTGGTTCATCTTCAAGCCTTGAGAGTAGATTAGTAAAAGGCTCTCATCCTTCACTCCCACAGATGAAGGTGAGGAGTAACTCTGTTACTCTAGTGAAAAGTTATGTAGAAACATTGAAGTCAAAATGTGTATGTACACAGATTTCCATTTTGTTTCCTTGTGAACGATAGGCAAAAGTAGTCTGTTAGAAGCAGTGAGTATTTTGGAATAGCTGGCTTTTGGTGCACAGTGCACTGAAATCACAAGATGTAGTAAAATGTGCATAGCTTCCAATTACTCCATGGTACTTATGAAAAGTTTTACCAGATCTTAGAACTGAGCTTATAACTGTTCATTTGAGAAGCCATTCTAGACTGTTTCCCAGTGACAGGTTTACTGTTTGAGTTGTCTGGGGGGTGTTGTCCCACCCCTGGAAATGTCCTGTCCTCTCTTTTCCTTTGTACTTTCATTGTAGAACTGAAAGTGGGAGAAAAGTTAAAGCAACTGTTCTTCTAAGACTCGGTAGGATTTTTTTTTTGTTGGGGAGTGCTTGTGAAAAAACCCTTTCAACTCAAATGAGTCCACAGTCATCACTGGGCTTATAAATAGTGAGGAATGTCCACATCAAAAGCCAAAGTAAATAAAAATATGGCAAAAGTTCCATAATGCCATATATGTTGTATACAAGCTAGCAAAAGTGCAATAACTTTATCCATGCGGAACTTGGCCTAAATGAGCTCTCAACTTTCTTCGCTGTGGCACAGTGCTGCCAGTGGTAGTGTTCCTTCAGCTGTGTGTCATGCAAGTCTTCCTTTTATGTCCATGGCAACAAGAAAACTTTCCTTCACTGACAGACAACAATTTTGTCTAAAAAAAATAAATACCCCAAACTGCTCAGCAGTGAATAAATGGTGTCAGCATGTTGCCAAGTATAAAAAGTCAGAGAGTTGAAGGGAATGAAAAAAATGGAAAAATGTAGGAGGTGCTAATGTGAACTTGTGCTGTGGCTTTGTCCCTAATTAAAAACTTTGTCTCATGGAATTTCTGCATCTGAACAAGTAGAATAGAATTTTACATTTTGTAACCTCCTTTTTATTAAATACTTCTTTTCGAGATAGGGCAGGTGTATTGTAGTAAGAATGGAAAGTCCTGACAGTTTAAGTGCCAATCTCTACTTGAAAGTTAGGGATTTTTTTTCTCCCAGAATTTGAGTCATTTAGATACTGTAGTTGGGTTTTTTTGTCAGATCTTTTGTATTTGTTAGTCAATATCCACAATTAAAGAGACAAAGGTTAGCAAATTTGACTGTGTCTGAAGTATAGTATCTAATCCTAAACCATGTGCTGCACTCTTAATAATCTTAGGATTCTTACCAAAATGAGCAATTTATATGGGTAGAAAGCCAGATGCTTGTGTGGTGCTGGTCCTGAGACCACTGCAAAGAATACAAAGACTTAGGCAAGACTCTTCCTTGTGTCCCAAGTTAATCTCTGCTGTTCTGAGGCTGCATCTCTCTCTCATTTTACCTCTCTGCTGAATTTCTCTTCCCAGGGCAGGGCTTGTGACTCAGCCTGGTTAAACCTGATTAATGTGTCAGATTGCCAGAGACAGTGTTGGAGCTTGCTGTAAGCCTGTAGGCATCTAGAAGTTAGGGATGGGTTTCTTTTGTGGATGAAATCCAGTCATCTGGGACAGAACCTGCAAGGGCTAGGCCAAAATGTGACCAAGCTGACGTCTACCTACCCTCGGAAAGTTTAGCAGATGTTTCAGTTCTCAAGATCAGCTGGGGGCTTGGAAGGGGGTGATTACTGGCATGTTTAATTAACCGTAGATCCTCCACACTTGACAAAAGGAACCCTGAAACTTGCCTTCTATTGAAGTTGAACTTTGACGGAGAATCTTTAGCTTGTCATTCAGCTGACAAACGGACTACAACTGTATATCAAGAAAACATTTCCCACTGTGAATAACTCATTTCCAAGTGACTTTGGGGAAATGCTGTTTGTTATTACCAGACAAGTTTCTTTTCATTTATATTCATCAATGCCCATCATAATTTTGGAATAGAACTTTATGAGATGCAGGATTGACATAGGTTCTAGAAATCTTCCTGAGAACAACCAACCTCTTGTCCCTTCCCAGGACAGGAGGTTTTGAAGGTTGAGTTTTGGTAGCACAGACTGGTAACCCTGATGCCTATGTGGAGCAATGGGTGCAAAAGATTCAAAACCAATAATTAGATACAAATTTTGGTTAAATATGATACTTTAGGGAAGAACCAGCAGGGCTTTTGTAAAGGGAAGTTGCACTTCAAAAACCTCTTGGTTCAGCTGACAGCTTTGTAGAAGACCTATCTGTCTAATACTGTTGAATACTGATACCAGATGTTAGTTCAGGAGGTGCTTGAACTCTGATGGACCATTGAAAAACATTCTGGTAAAATGCCATTATATGCTTTCTCTGTTTTTTCCCTCTGAGGGTAAGAAATTGCTCAGGGACTAAGCATCAATTGCTGGCTGCTGTCAGGAAGAGTGCTAAGTTGGGCCTCCTGAACTGATTCAGTATGGCCATTCTTAAGTACTTTTAATTAAAAATAAAGAAAAAATATCAAAGGATAAACTACAAATGAGGTTTTGCAGCACTGTGCTTACCTCCTCTGTGTTGTGCTCCTTTCTTTTTTCTGTTCTCCTCCTTATTTCTCTGTGCAGGTGGGCAGGCACAGCACAGTAGCTCCAAGTCCTTGCTTGTCTCAGCTGATACAGAATCATGTTTAGGGATGCCTGTTAACAGTCTGACCTTTCTTGCAAAAACTTAGTCCACCCTCATCAGTTAATCACTCTTGATAGATGGTCATGAGCTTGCCTACTATGACTACAGTAATGGTCTCTTGACAAATATGAGTATGCTTAACTATAGAATTCACTCCTCAAATAAAATACAGAAATAAAGCATCAAAAGACTGATTTTTAACATTTATTTTGCATATTTCATGCTGTCACAATTAAGGACAGTGAATTTTATGTCTGTAAATAACAGTAATAAATACTTCTGTCCTAGGTGTGCCTTGCAATAGCCCATTATTCTCAGCCAACAGATCTTCAGCTTCTCTTTGCATTTGAGTATGTTGGAGAAATATATCACAATCCAGGTAAGTATGAAAATATTTTGATAATATTTTTCCTATATCATGATATAGAACTTAAGTCAGACTTTCATCTAGAAGCAGTGGCAAAAAGCATATGAGGCTTTCTCCAGGGGTAATAGAATTGGCTTGTCCTGCACCCAAACTCTTACTTCTGGTTATAAGTCACTCACTGCGATAGACATTAATGACCAAATTCAAAAGAAATGTCTTTCCTGCCTGAAACAAAACCAAACTCCCTATGTCAGCACTTATATCAGCATGAATACTCATATTTCTCAATTCACACTTCGATCCTCCTATTGTATGTCTATATTGGTACTCTAGGTACCTAGTTAATCTCCCATCAGGCAGGCTTGTTCACCTGCCCTTCTTTTGGGAATAAGTTTCTCTTCTGGTGGTATTGCAGGAGGATTTGTGCAACTTGGGACTCCATACCTTCTTTCCTAGAGGCTTACTAGGCAGTTCTTACCACTCAAAACCTCCACCACCCCTGCTGAGTTGGAGCACACCCTCTCTGCTCAAGGCCAATCTCCAACTGAACCTTGTCAGTTAGGTAAGCGTGAAAAAGATGCCTTTGGAACTTGATTTCTAGTGTAATGCTGTGCGGTCACTGCTTAGTGTTCCCCAGCCAATACACAGCTGAAAACCATCAATTCTAGTGTAACAAGCCTCCAAATAGTGTAAGTGCCATTGATGGAGTTCTGTGGTGCTGAAATACTTCCTCAGCGCTGGCATTAGAAATAGCTCATCTGCCTGTTACAAAATTTGAGTGTTGTGGAATTATGAGCTCAGGCCTTCAAATTTGCACAGAAATGCATGTTTTTCATGCAGGTGCCTAGATGACTGCCCTGTGCATGCACAAGACTAAGTGTGCATGTGGCTATGTTGCACACATAATTACTTACACTATTTCTTACCTGATAGAACTTGGGCGGTTATCAAGGTCCATATACTTTAGCGTTACAAGGTACTAGGGAGGAAGCCCATCTGCAGATGAAATTATAATAAAATGTGAAAGTGGAGTGTGAACAAAACGTTAGCCTGTCACGAAGCTGCCTTTGCCCCGTCCTTAAAACACCATTTGCTGTATGGAAAAATACCTAGTGGAAGAATGACATAAGGTGGGTAAAAAACACTGTTCCTCTGGAGCAGCAGACTGGAATGGCAAAAGATAGTTGTTCTGCTGTGCTGTGGTTGCTGGAGAAAAGAGTTTGAAATACTTTTGGTTTGGCTTGTTTTTTTTTTGTTGTTGTTAACCCTGGTGTTTGTAGCATAGACCTCTGGCTCTACTCTCACAATTCCAGCACTGCTTTTTTGACTCTATCCCTGCTAGTCCCAGTACAGTAAAAGTTGAAATACTGTCTTTGTGCTTCTCGAAGAGCAGGAAGAGCCTGTATTGCTCTGGTGTGTATGTACATAATTTTTTTTCCAGGCTATATTTTATAATTGTATACCCTGCCACTGAGCAATGAAATTACAACATTTTGGGGCAATTGTCAAATTTCTCTGTATGCTGTCTTTGAACAACTACTTCAGTTTGACTTCAGTTTTCTTCTGAAAAACACAATAGTCTGAGTACTGGTGCAAGGATTAGGTTGATAGATAAAGAAAGTAGAAACCACACCATCATTGAGGTGACAGTAAAGCCATAAAGCCATATTCTGCTTTGTTTGGTCAGGCACTTACATCTGTACAGGCTCTTGCTGAAGCTTGGAGCTTTCATGGGAGGTAGTACGGTTGAGTCTCAGTTTATTTCACTTTTATCTAAAACTTACTTCCAAGTGTCAAGTTACAGGCTGCCTCCTTGGCACATAAAGAATGACCAGCAAAGGAGACCCTTCAGTATTAGCAACAGTCTATAGAATTTTCTTGGGCCTTAGCCACAACATGGTAAGCCATCTTTCCGTGTGGATAAATACATATATATGTATGTATGTATGTTTCTAAACCCACATATATATTTTAACCTGGCCTTCCAATGATTTTACTTGATGTTAATACAGCATTCCTTTAAAGCTGTTGAAATGGTACAGTTTTTATTTTGCTTTCCTCACAAGGTCCCTCATTACAGGTTAGCCTATAAAGGGTTCATGTTTTTAAAACCTTGCTAATTTTGGCATATTGAAGAGAGAAATCCTGTGACTGAAGATACCAGTTGTTCCCGAGTGTATGTCTTGCCCTCTATCAAGCAGCACAGCATACCAGTTTTATGTTGCTTCTCTGTTGAAAGTGCAGGCAAAAGCCTTATGTCTTCGTGGATCACCAAGTGTCATTCAGTCACTGATCTGTTGCACACAAGTAGGTAACAGTAGTTCTGATGCTGGTGCCTCGTTCTTGTCAGTAGGAAGGTGAAGAGTTTGATAATTTCTTCTTCTCTTTTTTTTAAATGCGCATTGATGAATTTTCTTTTCCTAGCCAAGAAGGTGAATGGAATAGATCCAGGAGGTGGTGGTGCCAGTGGTCAGCAGACACCTTTGTTTGAAACTTACTCTGACTGGGATAGAGAAATCAAAAGGACAGGTGCATCAGAGTGGAGAGTTTGTTCAGTCAATGAAGGTTATATGATATCTACTTGGTAAGTTTCTTTTATAACACAAGTAGAAGAAAAGAAGGCAATTACACTGTCTTTTCCTGTCTCCTCTACCAAACTTTCCATTCTACCTAACTGTGCACTTCACTCCTTGAATGTGCCATTCTCTGGAGAGGCCCTTAGTTGGAAGATCCTTCTTACTTGCAGTGCTGTCACTGAAGGAAATGGCCTATTTTGGTATCTGTTGCTTTCATGCTTTTGTACTTCCCTCTGAAGCATGTACATTTCTGAACAGGTAGATCTGAGCTGTAGGATCATGCAGACACGTGGGACAGCCAGTTAGCACTGTGGCGTTAGGGGCTGGTATGTTACAGTTTACCAGAGTTGGTAAGACAGCATTGCCACAAGAGAAAAACTGATAAAATGCACAGGGAAAAGTAACCTTTTGTATCCTGTTTTTCCCTCAAGCCTTCCAGAATATTTTGTGGTTCCATCTTCCTTAGCAGATCAAGACCTTAAGCTATACTCCTACTCTTTTATTGGGAGACGAATGCCAGTAAGTATAGTCTTTATTCTGTTACTGTCCTTGGTTGATGTACAATATTATCTTACATGTCTGCCAGTTAACATAGCTTTATGTTTAGTGTTAAGAAAACAATGTCTATGGAATAACACTAACCTGCATTGTTTTGTTATTTCTTTTCTGTTTTTTTCCCCATATTAGTTGTGGTCCTGGAATCACCCTAATGGGAGTGCCCTCGTTAGGATGGCCAACATTAAAGATGTCTTACAACAAAGAAGAATTGATCAAAGGTAATAGTTATGTTATTCTTTAATCAGATGTGTAACAACACAAGTGGTCACTCTAACACACAACAGCAATTAGCAATTGAGGGGATACTTGCTTCATAATGTTGTAGTGCATTAGCTTTTGAGAAATTTCTCTGAATATAGTTCTGGCACAATTCCTGTTTAAGTCCTGCCACTTCAGTGTCAAATCCTGTGTAATTTTTGAAATTGTAAGGGATGTTTAGTTTTTAGGCAGCTGGTCATTTAAGTGACAAAATTTACTGATAAAAGGGTCAGACAGTCTTTTCTGTTGATGTTACTGTAATACGACTTAGGTTGGTGCAGACCTTCTGATGATAAGGGGCTGGAGCACCTCTCATATAAACGTAGGCTGAGAAATTTAGAGCTGTTCAGCCTGGAGAATAGGAGCTGTGTGGAGACCTCAGAGCAGCCTTCCAGTATCTGAAGGGGCCTACAGAAATGCTGGAGAGGACTCTTCATCAGGGGCTGTAGAGATAGCACAAGGAGGAATGGGTTAAAACTAAAACAGGGGAAGTTCAGGTTGGATATAAGGTAGAAGTTCTTTACTGTGAGGGTGGTGAGGCACTGGAACAGGTTGCCAAAAAAAGTGGTACACGCTTCATCCCTGGCAGTATTCAAGGTCAAGCTGGACAGAGCCTTGAGTGACATGGTTTAGTGTGAGGTGTCCCTGCCTATGGCAGGGGGTTGGAACTGGATGATGTTAAGGTCCTTTCCAACCCAAACCATTCTGTGATTCTAAGATACAGTAGAAACTATTCAGTTCATTTTTGGCATTGGGAAATACGATTTAATAGATTTAGTGCCACAAAGCACAGAGTATTTCTGGGACATATTTGTCATACACTGTCCTTGATGAAAGGTGAATGCATCTAGAACCTTTCATAAGTAGTGTACTAACTGGGTATTCTTTGTCCTTTAGTTTAATTTGTAAGATGACTTTTTGTAGTAGACAAATGCTTGCATTGTGTGTGTTAGGCTGGAGCAATGAGTTTATTTGAAGCCCTGTCAGATTTCATGGCTTTATAAACTTTATACTGTTCTGTTTCTATAGCATACCTAAGTCTTACTAAAAATTGTGGAAAATTAAAACTTAAATAGAGCTATTTAACTGTGAGTCAGCATCAGATTTTCATTTCCCAAACATGTTGTTTTAATGACCCAGCATTTCTATTTTTTTGTTCTATAACTAGCAGATACCAAAAATATGTGAGTCAAAAGCTTTGTGGCAGGAGCAATGTACCTCCTGAATATAAACGAGAGGATAAATCAGGTGCATGTTTTATGTGGTTTCAGTTGTTTGCAGCTAGAGGCTGTGGCATGTTTCTTGAAAGATGGTTTATTTCCTCTCCAATACAAAATGCCTGATTCTTTTTTCTTACTTAGGATTTGTAATGCGATAACTCGAAGCCATCCCCTTAGAAGTGACGTTTATAAATCTGATCTGGACAAGAGTCTCCCCAACATCCAGGAGATCCAGGCTGCACATGTCAAACTCAAACAGCTGTGTGTTAATGGTATGCAGGACTGTCCTCCTTTCATGATGGTTCTTTTCCTGAAATACAACAAATTCTAATAGGTCTGGCTCACAGGAATGGATGTTTGAAGTTATTCTGCAGTGTAATTATTTTCCTTGTTGCAGAGCCCTTTGAAGAAACTGAAGAGAAGTGGCTGTCCTCACTGGAAAATACTCGCTGGTTAGAGTATATTAGGTATGTACCATTAATAGATTGATGATGGTTAACAAGATGTGAAAAACTTTCACCAGTGTAAATAAGTAGTGAATCAGTTGAAGGATTCTCTGAGTTAACATATGAGTGTGGTAGATCTGGATATCCCAGATTTTTTTTCCTTTAGAGTGTGACTCGTTGTGTTAACTGTTGTATCACTTTCTTTTTCTGTCTAGATCCTTTCTGAAACATTCTGCTGAGCTTGTATATATGATGGAGTGCAAGCATGTTTCTGTAGTTCTACAAGGTAACACAACCATGGCATGCTGTAATTGTTTGCATTAGTACAATAATGTAGATAAACGTGCTAAGCATCACTTCTAAGTGGTTTAGGCATTTGAGAAACTAGAAAGGAAAAGAGTTTTGTTGTGCATCTGAACTATAGTATAGTCCATAGCATCGAAGGAATGTGTCATTTCGTATTTTTTTAGTCTGATATCAAAACTTTAGGATGAACTTTTGTTCTCTGTTAATTGGGCTCATGCTCCCTGCATAAGCAGTATCAGTTTCACTCAGAGGACCTATATACAGGAGTATTTCTCTGAGAGTGGCTGCTGTTGGGTAAGTATGAACATGTTCCAGAAGAGGCTTCCTCCTGCGGTGATCAGAAAACTCTGATTCCTGTCATTTTCACAAGAGCCGCTCAGCTGGTGTCGCTCACTCTGCCCACAGAACGGCCTTCCAAAACCTGCTTCAGGGGGGAAAATCTGTTGACAGTTTCCGGCAACATGAGCACCCTCCTTGTCAGCGCATCTTGGTTTAAGTACTAGGCATTTGGTGGGTTTTTTGTTCCTGATGAAATCCCTGCTGTGCTGGATGCTGCAGGATCCAATTACAGCAGCACAAAGCATGTTTTGAAAGAAATTCAAAGAAAAACGCTGGAACTAGTTGCCACTTTTTGCTGTTTGAGATCTAATCGTGTGTACATGTATCTATACCTTATGTATTTCATGCACTGTGTACGTTATTCACAGAGGAAGAGGGCCGGGACCTGAGCTGTCTTGCTGCTTCACTCATTCAAGTCATGCTGGATCCCTATTTTCGAACAATTGTTGGATTTCAAAGCCTAATCCAGAAGGAATGGGTCATGGCAGGGTATCAGTTTTTGGACAGGTGTAACCACTTAAAGAGATCTGACAAAGAGGTAAAAAGGAATTGTGTTTGTATGTGATAACAGTACCTGGTTAATACTGGCTTGAACGTTTATTCATGCAAAAAGCTAAAGTAAAAGTATTTTTTAATTATTTCAGATCTCATGAAACTGATGTCAGAGAAAATGAGTCTTTGTTCAGGATAGAGATCTATTTTCTTTATCCTCTGTAGCCAAGTGAGAACCAACACAGCATCCAGTGTTGCTGGGTTTTTATGTTTTCGGTGTTACTTGTGAAGAGGTCCCACTGTTACAAATGCTAGCACAGCGTTTCAAATTGAAATAGAAGGGGGTAAGGAGTGGGGTTGGAGGTGGTGGTTTGCTTTGTTTTACCAAGCAGAGGAAAAGAGGGTAGCATCATGCTTGATTTTCAGTATTTCCAGCTAATCGTATTTGGCCTCTTCATTGCAAAGGAGAAGCTTGTAATTGTAATTGGAAGACTAGAGGAGCCCAGGTCAGCAGCCCTCTTCAGGGACAGTGCCCGAGGGAAAAAATGATAAGCGGTATCCGCAGAGTGGAGCCAACAGAGAGACTGAGGACACAGCACTAAGCAGAGAAAACAAATGAAGGGATGAAGAAACTGAAATACCAAGGGGGGGAGGATAACGAGGAAGCAGGTGTTTTGACCCTAGGAAAGGATATACAGGAGAGTGAAATGGGGAAGAGGAGAATATTTCTAAAGCGTTATGTAAATGGTAGCTTAGGCTTCTGCCATTCATGGGCCACAGGGGAAAGAGTTACAAAGTGTAGTAAGAAACTAACATGGTTGAAACGTAAGGTCTCCAGTCATGTCAAACAAGAAGGAAGTATATACATTGAGTAAGGAGGGCCCATACAGCACTAATGTGGAAACTGAGGGATTAAAGCAAATGGCAGAAAATATTTTTGCAGCTGCTTGGGCAGGAAGAGAGCCCAGGAAAGAACTGACAGGCTTCTTAGAGGCTTCTTGTTGGAAGGTAAGCCTGAGGGAGCCAGATGACACAGTTGCTTGTGAAAGTGGCTAAACAGAAATACAGGGTATTACAGGTGCATAAAATCCTAAGAAATGCAAGACTCCAACTAGTTTACTGTGTTGAGGAATGTACCAGAGGAATAGCTGAATACCCTAATGGAGCACTGACTGCAGAGAAATCAGTGTGCCTTGGGAAAAGCTTCAGCCAAATCTAACAGTTCTCTCTTCTCTTTTCCCAGTCTCCTTTGTTCTTGATGTTTCTTGACTGTGTTTGGCAGCTGCTAGAACAATACCCAGCAGCCTTCGAGTTCTCTGAAATTTACTTGACTGTACTGTACGACAGCGCACGTGTATCACTGTTTGGCACTTTCCTCTTCAACTGCCCTCATCAGCGAGTAAAGGAGAGCACTGTGAGTAGGAAGCGTTGCACCTCCTTTTGAACCAGGGGACTTCAGCATGCCCCTCTGGAAATAACATCCCCTCTAACTGCTATTCCTGTGCCTTTTCCAAAATGTCAGACTGTTCGGGGCAGAATACTCAGCTCCCCAGGTGAATATGCTGAGAGTGAACTTTCAGGTGATCTTTGCATAGACTAATGCATAGACTAACTATCGAAGAAGAAAGTCTGCAGAAGTTTTTTTACTCTTTACCGGAAAAGCATGGTTGTAGTACATCATTATTTGTACTTCCCTAGGAAACAGATTTGTGTCTGGGACTGATGAAGTAGAACAATATGCAATAAATAGCATTTCATGCTTCAGGTGGACTTTGAAACCTCTTGACATAATTGTTTCAATGGTTGAAAAAGACCGTGTGAAGCTCAAATAATAATGCACATTGAAGGTGTGTGGAAAACTGAACACTTTGTTTTGAAAACTGGCGTTTATCAGAGCTGCATGTAGAAAACATTTGATGTTGATAAAATGAAAACTTAGTTATTTTATTCACTGTTTTCCCTTGAGAGTTTTAAGTAGCTGCCTTACAAAGAAATAGAGCACTGGGGGGGCTGCTAGTGTTTGTCTCAAAACAAGAGTTTGTGTGGTTCAGAGTAAACAAACAATTAAGTATCATTGAAAAGTAAATTGTGCTCAGCGAGCATTCGTCCTGCCTCTGCATTGCTCAAATGAAACCCAGGGTACAGCCGTTTTCTCCAGCAGCCACCTCTACATTATATCCCTGCTCTTCTTTGCCCAGTAATTATGCCCTGCTTTGTAATGAAGATCTGTGAATAAGCCTCTTTTCTTTGATTTTAACATGCCTGAATGTTAACTTCTTGCAGGAGTTTGCCATAAGCAAAAATATTCAGCTGGGTGATGAGAAAGGCCTCAGATTTCCTTGTGTTTGGGACTGGTCTCTTCAGTTTACACACAGGGATCGCCTGCTCTTCCACAACCCTCTGTACATTGGAAAGAGTGCGCCCTATGTACAGAATGGAGCCGTGAAGACTTTTAAACGCTCAAAGGTAACTATAGTGATGTCTGCCTTTGACTGGAGTGTTTCTGTGCTTAACCATAATACTCTAACATTTACAGTTCCATGGTGTTGCAAACCCTTAGTTTAGCACTAGGAACACTAATTCTCTTAGCTTCCCAGCCTAAAGAAATGATTTTCTGCGGAAGTAAAGATGTAAATTGTTGAGCTGTGTGTTCCAGGACGTGTTCTGATACAGCTGAGCTCATTGCCAATATCTGCATTCTTTCACCTGTGGAAAAGTGCTGATGTGCCACTTTTTTCCCCCAGGGTTGTCAGTTTTTTTCAGTGAACACTGATCAATTCAGTGATCCAGTGTTTTAGAAAGTCTAGAAAACAGATGTATTTCTATGCAGAGGCCACTGGTGGCCCCAGTGCTTGCCCCGTGAGCTGTGCAGTAGTGACTCAGGCTCAGAACTGTGGAAAGGTCACATCATTTCTCTGGATGGCGCATCCTAGCAGCTCAGGGAAATCTGCTGTCCTGGAGACCATAAACCTGGAGAATTACCAGTGTTTATTTTCTGCAGAAAAACTACAGCTCCACATTGCGAGGGGTACCCCCAGCACTAAAGAACGGAATCATCAGTGAGCAAGAGTTCCTTCCAAGAAGAAACTCTCTGATACTAAAACTGAAACCGGACTTTCTCCAGCACACAGAGAGTCCGACTGGCAGTATGGAACAGTACTTCAGAGACTGGTTTGCAAAGCCTGTTGATTTGCACGGTGTGATCCTACCCCATGTCTCTGGAACACAAATAAAACTGTGGAAACTCTGCTACTTCCGCTGGGTTCCTGAGGCCCAGATTAATCGTGGTGGTTCCATCACTGCTTTCCACAAAGTGTCTTTGCTGGCAGATGAGGTAGACATGTTAAACCGGAGTCTTCGGCAGTACAAAAGCAACTCTTTGCACAGCAGCTGCTTGGAACTGGATCAAAGCAGGATGTACTTCAGAGCAAATGGTTTAAATGACACCTCTGGGGCCCCAGACTTTCTCTCCTCCTCATTCCCATTTTCTCCTGTAGGGAACCTCTGCAGACGGAGCATTCTGGGAACACCTTTAAGCAAATTTTTAAGTGGTGCCAAAATCTGGCTATCCACTGAGACGCTTGCAAACGAAGACTGAGATGTTGTGATGGTTTAAAGTTGTAGGGAAAATAGAGCCTATCACTTTGTCTTTTCTAAGTTAACACTGCTAAATGCGGCATTGAAAGCTGTAATAATTTTTCTATACAAACATTACGTAAGTTTTGCACAGATATTTAAAAGCAAAGCAGTCATGCTTCAGATCGCACACATTCATCTTCAGTAGTTGTCACCTGCTAGGGCTGCTGGTCCCGAATTCCTCCGTGGTTTTGTGGTTTGCCTCATTCTAAGCGGTGGAGCACTTCATTAGCTAACTGAAGGGCTTGGTATGGTCATGCATGAGGGTTCTGCTCAACAGATCTATTTTCTCAGATAGTGACTGATGTGACCGTAGTGTCAACAGCTCGGCAGGTCAGAGAGTTCAGTGCAGGGGTGCAGGGGACACAGACTGACAGCTGAAACCTGGGAATAGACTCTTTTATCAGACTGCCTCTTCAGGAAGAACACTTCCATGTGGACATACATACATATCCACTAATGTTCTGTGACTTGGTCACCCTACATAGGTGTTGATGCAGTGTGTATCCAGGGATTGTGCACTCTTTTCTTTCTCCCCCCAAAATGTATTCATTAACAATCACTCACATTTGTGGTCTTTCTCATGAGCTTGACTTTAGATTATAAGAATCAACTTCAGGGCGATGCACTGTTAACCTTAAAACATTTACTGTAGAGCTGGTATTGTAGTAGCTTTAGAAGTGCCTTTAATTGGGAGGAGACAGCAGCAAGGTTACTCTAATGCAGCTGACACACCCCCAACTTTTTACAGTAGGTTGATAAGGTAAGTTTTTGTTCCATCCCCCTCCCCTTTTCTGGAAATACCAGAAGGGCAGATTCTCCAGCAAGATTTTCCTCTTAAAGGTTAAGCTCTTTTTCTGTATAAGCACCTCCAATACTCAACAATAAATCCCTGCCGACCCTCTCCTCATTCTGTGGTAGGACAGATATGCTTTCAGCAGGATTCATACTGAAGCTGTGCTGGGTTCCAGGCAGGCTCCAAGTGGAGCTGTTGTCACTTGTAAGCAGGTGCTGGAGGAAGAGTGGTTAGTGGTGCCTTCTTTTTGCATACATGCATGTCCATATGGACAAAGCAATGGGCAAGCACTGTTTGAGGAAATTAAGTCCAACAGCCTCCCTCTGCTTAATGCAGCAGCCTCGTCTTTGCTCCAAAACCTTTTACATGATACCTCCCCCCTGGATGCGATGTCAGAAGACCCCTCAAGTTTCACAGGGAGAAAATCAAGAGTGTAAAGTATACTGGGGGTGGGGGGGGGGGTGTGTGGACCAGCAGTGCTGTATTTTCTGTACCTGATTTCTGTGTAAAACACAAATGCTATTGAACCAACACTGAGCCACCATTCAGATGCTGACTCACAAGTTAAGGCACTGAGGACCTTACGTGGTGAGCTAGAAGCTGTTCTCAGCTATCAGGGGAAACAAAGAGGCTGTATGATGATAATGCACAGTATGTTAGAGTTAAAAAAAGGCAGGGAGGGGTAGGATGTGGAGCTCTTCCTTCGTACAACCGGGCTGGTCTGCAGCACAGCCTAAATTGCAGTGTAGGATTTTGACATCTAAGATTGCTCAAGTCTTATTTTAGAGGATGTGCATCCGGAGTGGCCTCAGAGGTGCAAGCTTTGTGCTAGAGGAGCCCAGTGCCTGCAGGACCCTGCTTCCCCAGGCTTCATGCCTGCCCTTGCAGAGCTGCAAGGGCACCAGGTTTGGCAGGGGGTGAACGGCAGGTTCATGGGGGAGGGGGTGACTTCCTTTTTAACCAACCCCCCAGATTTGTTCTCTATGCAAAGCAGCCTTGTGTGCACGTCTGCGCGTGGACTCACACATGTATGTTACAACAACGCCAGGTTGGTTCTGATCAACTGCTTGCGAGGAAAAACCATGTATTCGCCTCAGTTGCCTACTATGCTGCAAGATGGTTTGAGCATGTGAAATGGTCCACAAACCAGTTGTTCATTTACAAGCTTGCTGGAGCAGACATCTGCTTGTTCAAGTCATTATTCAACTGTTGATATTAGTTTGCTTTTGTGATTTCTTTTTCCCCCATTAGCTTCGTGCATTCCCTGGCCTGATACTTGACTAAAAGACCTCAATGTGTGTGCTCAGTGGCTTTTGGTACCAAATTTTTCCTTTTTAAAATTACAGTCAAAAATATGGAGTCTTTATTTTTTTCCCTCCTCCTTAAAACTTTGGTTTAAAGGTACCAGAACTGTGTAAATAAACTGCTCCTCACAAGCAGCTGGTGGAATACAAAAGTAGAATGAATGTTTGTAGGCTAGTACCTTTTGGGGGGAAATGGGTACTGTATTGAAACAGGACTGTCTTTTGTAAGAGATTTCAGACATTTTTACATTTCAGTTCTAAGATGTGTGCAGATGCTGCAGATGGTCTGTGTATTTTATATAGAGTATGGGAGTGGGATGAAAATAATATGCCTTTAAAATAAAACCTGTCTAAATATCAATTTACCAAACAGACTTACAAAGAAATTTTACACAGTTCAAAAAGAGGAGTTGGAGGAGCAGAGGCCATGATGGCCACACACTGCGGGGGGACAGGGAGGATGTGGAGCTGTCTGCCTTGCCTTGGGAATGGGCACCAGATCCTGCTTCCCAGAGTCTGAGGCACTGCCCGTGCCTCTGTGTGTGGTTCTCCTCTGAAGTTATTGACTTGTTTGAATTTACTTTTTGAAAGACAGGTACTAGATGTTAATTCTCCAATCTGCACAGTTGCCTTATCAATAGTCAGTAGGACTGCTCTGAACCGGTCTTTGGTCACTTTCAAAAGCAATTTTGGGGTGTGAGTATGTATGTTTAACTTCTCTGTACAGAGTAATGACACACAAATGTATATGTATGTGTGTGTGTATATATGTACACATGTTCAAACTTTAATTTCTATTCACCATTTAAAGCAACATCCTGTTAATGCCATCCTGGTGTTGCAAGAGTAGAACAACTACCAAGAAGCTTCTTTCTTTTGTCTGTGTCTAGAACACGTGCACTATTTTGGCTGTTACTGGCTGTTCTATCATGACTTTTGTACTACACTGTAAATCACATGGGGGGACACGGAACACTGATTAAGGTGTCCCTCCAGTGTCATTAATTACTGCAAGATAGAGCTAATTGTAGACTGCATCCTCATGGTAGTGCAGCTATTTTCACCATGTTCTGCCATGCATCAGAGACACTGCTTTCATTCCAGAAATGCGTTGAAAAGTGTGTGTTGGTGTATGTATGCCCAGGCCTGCATGTGTGTTCACTGTGCACTGCCTGCAATACCACTCTGAAATCAAATGCCTTGTATCTTTAATGAAAATGTAGCAAGGGGGGCAAAGGTTTTGGCAAACTCTCAGATGGGAAGACATTTAAGACCAAAAAATTTCTAACTCATATTTAAGCAAAGGACAAAATCTTAAATTTGCCTCTAACAAAGAGACAGAAATCTGTACCTCAACTCACTCTAGGCAGTAGGTTCTAATGCTGTTGCTGTGATGGTTTAGAGTTCCCTATTTCAACTGAAAACTAAAACCTTTGTGCCTGATAATGATTTATTGAGTAAAGTAGCAGTACCAGGAAGATTATAAAATCCTGATGCTGACTTGTGAATGTGAATTAAATTAGACTAAATAAAAGTTCATACCTTTCCACAGTGAACTTCAGGCCATTTTTTTACTTCCTCTAACAAAAAAACAGTTGGGGGGTGTTTTCTTTTTCCAAGAAAAGCAGGAACACCGTGCCCTAGGAAGAGGATTCATAGAAAGTGCAAAATTAAGATCATTTGCACAGCTTATGTTCTATTACAATGTCTGCTGTTTGTGTGGTAAGCAGAATTTCTGCTACCAGGAAAACTTACTCAGTATGAGAATGAAGACTGCACAGAGTTGGCCGTGTGTTAAAACTGAGACAAACCCACAGGATTTTGGTGTCTTAAAAGAGAACTGATCCTTTTAGTTGCTGACTGGCTTATTTCTGAATGAGGAAACACAGCAATTCATGTGGGGCAAAACTGACTGTAACCAATACCATGATGTACAGGGGTGCAGTGGTCTTGCACTGAACAACTCCTGTCTACTACCGGAAATATTTCCCCTTTCCACAGGAACTACAGATGTTCATGGCAGAAGGGGCTGTTAAATACATTATCCTTTCATACAGAGCAGCACATTAAAACAGCGTTTAAGAAAATAACCCAGGGTTATGCTTTACTCCATGCCATCACTGACCAGCTCTGTTTTTTATATTAAACTGACAAATTGAAATGCAGAATACAAATCAGGGACAGCTGGAGAACAATGCTGGTCCCGAAAATCCTGGAAAGGCAACTTGCACCTTGCAAGGGAACTTGGACAACATGATGAACTCAGGCTCCACAGGTGATCAGGACTTGATGAAGCCCAAGTTTTGTTGTGGAGGATGTTCTTGGTGTGTGACTGCAGCTGGTTTTCTTGTTCCTGGGCAAACCCCCAGGTTACAAAGTTAGTTCTTAATAGTGAATAGAAGAGAAAGGCTTTGCTCCTCTGACCACAGTGACATAAGTGGTAATACATACAGTAAGTCGCACTGACAGTCTTTGCCATTTCTAGAATGTGTTGTACTAAACCCAACTACAGGAATGTTGCAAGAAACCAGATTTTCAGAAGAAACTACTTTTAATAAGCAGCAGCCAGTGGTGCGTGTTGTGATGCCAGGTCCTTTAAAATCACCCAAGTTACCCAAGTGCTCCAGAGCTCTGTTACTACCCAAGGCATTTACTCTTGCCTCCAGTGGCTTGCACATGACACACTTCTACTGTCGCACCCAGCTTCTTCAGTTCACTCAGCCATATTATCTGCTTGTGGGACAGGCGATCATTGGGCCCCTTCACTTCCACCAGCTACAAAGGAATATGGATGATTGGTTAGTAGTGTGCCTGTGGAGGAACTAAAAGATCGTTAGCTCCTGCAGGCTTATGTAAGTATTCTTTTATGGCTGTTATTTGCAACAAAAATAATACAGATTTGGCACAACAGAAATCCTTGTGAGGGCTAAACTAACTATTAACCCATGTTCCAAAGTTTAACTGTAAGAATGGAATTTATATGGTAAATATCTGCCAAAACAAAGGCAAAGGCACTAGTGAATGAAGACAGATACCACATGTTCAAAAACTTATCCTCTGCAACCTCACCTGTTCCAGCTGGTACTGACAAGCAACATAGATGTTCTAGAGAACTAATTCCAGCTACTCAGCTCTGGCTTACAAATCCATGACAAGTTGCTCCAGCAGCTGAGATGCACAGTAGTCTTCTGGTACCTGTTCCACTACCAGGCCAGACACAATCCATGACTGGTTGCTCAATTTCTGTGGCAGAGACACAGTTGTAGTCTCATATATTCAAGATTCTATGTAAGTGGAGGCATGAGTACCCCTTGTTAACAGCACCCAGAACATTACAACTGATGGGTACAGCTGCTTTCAGCAATTTTAATTAGACTTACTCCACAACAATACCTTGCCACCTCGTGTTGTTTCTCATTACGCCCATTAAAGTTACAGCAAAATGTGATGACATGGCAGA